GTGATGTGTAGTCCTAAGTATGTGTAGTCGTGTGTGTGCTCCACCTCATGAGAGCCCAGGAAAAACCTGGTTTGGTCTCCCTGACCCCTGGGTCGTTTCTGGAATATCATAATTTTGGTTTTGTCCAGATTTACTGTCAGGGCCCAGGTCTGACAGAAGGTTTGCAGGTGATCCAGTTGCTGTTGTAGTGCTTCATTTGATGGAGCCAGCAATATGAGATCATCTGCAAAAAGTAGGCATTTAACCTGTGTGTCAGACAGAGTGAGACCAGGGATGTCAGATAGTTCTAGTGATTTGGCCAATTCATCGATATAAATGTTGAAGAGGGTGGGGCTGAGACTGCAGCCTTGTTTTACTCCTCTACTCTGGGGGAAGAAATCTGTTTCCATGTCGTTAATTTTAACAGCACATTTCATATGTCTGTACATGGTTTTGATGATGTCATAGACCTTCCCCCCTACACCCTTCTCAATACACCCCCCCTCTCTCTCTCTCTCTCTCTCTCTCTCTCTCTGTCTCTCTCTCTCTCTCGTCCTATTACTGCATCTTGCTAACTCGGCCATACTGCATGTCACTAACTCGGCTTCTTCTCCGGAGCCTTTGTGCTCCACTGTCTCTCAGGTTAACTCGTATTGCATTACCTCAGAATGAGTCGTTTATATCTACACAGGGAGCAGGTCCTCGTCTACAGAGATCACCATGTTGCACTGCCATGTTTCTACAGTAGCCCAGAACGGACAAACCAGACACTAACTTTAGATAGAGACATTCATGTGTTCATAATCTGCAGCTCCTCCACATGAGCAGCATCAAAGAAACACTGACAGTGTTTCCTGGTGTAAATGAGCTGGTGTGTGTGTTTCTGAGAGGAAGAGACCTCTGTGGATAGTTCAGCTCCTTAACATCTGGATCTGAAGTTAACAGAGATAAAGGGTGAGCACACATTAACAGGTGTTGAGCGAGCGGCCTGTCTCAGACAGGAAGAAGAGACCTCTGTGGATAATTCAGCTCCTCAGCAATCAACACTGAAGGAATTCTGACCAGGAGAAGTTTCAGCTGGTTGTAACTTAGCTCTCCTTAAATCTGTCACACTGGAGCTTTGACTTTTTTCCACTGACAGAAGAGTTTGATGCTGTGAGTCTGAGCTGTCTGTCTGCAGTATCTAACAATGATGGCAAATCAGTTTAAATGAGACAGGCACTGACTCACCCAGATTGTAGAGGATGCAGGCCTGCTCATAGCTGATGTCGTCATGGACCACGATTTTTCCAGAGAATATTTCAGTCCTGCACATACACACATAAAAATACTCTGTTAAACAACACACAGATCAAATACAGTCAGGAGGTGTGTGAAACATCTTACTGACACTAAATCAGACCAGACCACTGTTTCCACACCATATCATTCATCAAATGATTAACTAACAGGTTTATTCACATTACAGCACACACACATACAGAGGATCAGTCTGAGACAGAGGGAAACATCATCATATATTCTGCTAGAACACATCCCTTCATTATAAACACACAGACCTGTCCATGTCCCCTCAGGACAGACAGCTGACGTAACACTATAACAGTTCAGACCTTCATGTCTCTGTGTCTCTTACCATGAGATGGGGACAGCAGCCTCCTGTCCCGTCCCCATGGGGACTCGACTCTGGAGGTAATGTAGCTGACCGAAGTATTTCCTCAGTGTGCTGCATCCCTCGAAATCCCTCGTCACGTTTACTGCGCTCTGTCAAACACACACACGTACACACGTACACACGTACACACACACACACACACACACACACACGTCAGCCCCTGAATTTACCTTCAACCACTCACTGCACTTTAATATGTTATTTAACAGATCAACAACAGCCTGAAGGATTACAGCCCCTCAGTCAGACCCCTCACTACTACACCTGGTAGACACCTGTCAGTCAGGACGTATGAACAGTCAGACACCTCACTACTACACCTGGTAGACACCTGTCAGTCAGGACGTATGAACAGTCCACAGGTTTGATCAGCCAATCAGAACACTCCTCAACATGCTGAGGATTTAATGTCTGATCCTCTTCCTGCTGTACAGGCTGACTGACAGCAGAGTCCTGCACTGGGTCGGGTACCCGCAAAAACAGCTGATTTGCGGGTGGTTTTTAAAAGAACATTTTTTCCCGGGTTTGGATCTGGGTGGAAAAAATAACATGCAGGTCGGATCGCGGGTTTTAGATAAACACATCAGTCATTAGTTCGGTAAACTACAGATAACTATCATTATTTACTCTCTGAGGATCGCCTCTGCTATTTCGCAACGGTCATTGGTTCAGCTGTTTACACGCGTTTCACCATCTAATAACACAATTTGTGATTGGACGACAGAATCAACATGGCTGCCACCGTCTAACAAGCGCCGCTTCCAAAACAGTAAATAATTATTTAGGTATTTGAGAAATAAGTGGATAAAACGTACAACTATCACTTTATAATGTTTCTGAAGTGTTTCCCTGATGGATTACTTCTCTCCTCGATGGATTCTAAAAACACGTGACGGCTCGTAACTGCTGAACGTCGCTCTGGACAGAAAGTAAGTCTATTATTACACATGTAAAGTTCCTTTACATAGATTAAAAGTTTAAAAGCATTAAACGTAAC